CCCGACCCCGATCGATCCCGATTCCCTCCCCCAGCGCTGCTCTTCCCGCCCGCCCCGATTCCCCCTGCGTGCACGTGTATGTGAACACTCCCTCATCTATACCATGTCCGCACGTGTACGCCGGGACGTGGGCGGGTGCGGCACATCTGTTAGAAGATAAGGCAGGTGTCCTACGATGAGCTCAACGAGACAAGCAATCTCGTTGGAGCAAAAAAGGCAAAAGCTCATGCGATTTTGATTTCTAGTACGAATACGCTATGTTTGGCAGGGCTGCCCACTTTCCCCGGCGCTGTATGCGCTATTTATTGAGCATCTCCACGACATGCTGTGCGCGGACAACGATTTGATAGGCCTCCCTCTCCCGCATGGCAAGCAACTTAAGAGCTCGGCTTTTGCAGACGACACCGGGGCAATTACGGCCCTCACACCCACCAGTGTGAGGGCACTTACCACTCAGATCGAACACTTCGAGCGCTATGCCGGCGCAAAGCTGAACTGGCATAAGTCGGTGGCGCTGGTCCCGGACATGAATGCCGCCGGCCTCTTCACCGGCATGCGAGTTCAGCGTATCACAGGCAGTACAGTGTATTTGGGAATCGTGATGCCTGACGCACTTTCCAACGGCACTCAAAATGAGGCCGTCACGCATAAAGCAATCAATCGCATGGCGTCTTGTGCTAAAAGACCGCAGGCGGAAGTCTTTGGTCGAGCCCTCTTGGCCAATACCGCAGCTTCCTCGATGTTGTGGTATGCGGGAGCGGTATCAATGCCTAGTCAACAGGCACAACTAAACTACCAAACGAACCTGGTGAAATTTGTGTGGAAAAACGACCCTCTGGCGCCGACAACCGTCCATCGTGTCGCATGGAGAAAGCTTATCCAACCAAGGGCCGCTGGGGGACTTGGTCTTTTGGACCCCTCTAATCAGATCCGGGCATTACACCTACGTACGATCTTCTGGCTGATCCTGGAGGATGATGCAGCCCCGTGGAAGGTCTTGACCCTGCAGACGATGGCAGAGGCCATGCGCCTTCACCCTGCAGACGTGATGACAGCCCTCCTCCAACCCTCTCTACTAGGCAACCTCAAGCGTGGTGCGCTGTGGACACCTACACTCACACTCTGGAGGAAACTCTCCCCTCTCCGTCTGCGCCCGCCTGCCTCCAGGGAACAGATCCTCCAGCAGCCCCTGTTTGACAACCCAATGATCCTCGATGCCGAGGGACGTCCTTTCCCATGGATGCGGACCAAAGGCGCATTTGGTAGGGCATGGGTAACGACCGGGATAGGGAGGGTAGCGGACATCTGGGATGAATCCACGGGCGACTGGAAAGATGACTCGCTAATGATTGATGCACTACGTGGGCAGACGGACAAATTGGGACGGCTTAGACACATCCAACGGGCCATCCCAGAGGAATGGACGAAAATGCTTCGAATGGGTCTACAGTATCGAGGGGAATGGGCGATCCTCCGATCCAATACCTCGCAGGGCAGCGACTCACCCCCTGTCTTTTTTCAGCTGAAGGCCAAGGTCGGCTCGCAGTGGCTCTTGGCCGATGCCTGGCATCCCATGGGCCCAATGTTACCCACCAACAGACACATCATTGGCCCCATGCAGCGGAAGCCGAAGCACGACGGCTGGATTCCGGTGGATGCCATTCGCCCGGTGGCAGTCCTTCGTGACAAGACCCGTACATCGGCCCCCGTGTATAGAGCGTTTCACCCCGCCTGTAGGTCGCTGTCTTAGGCAGTCGACCCCTCCATGTGGGAATGGAGGCCCCAGGCTTCCCAGCGGAAGCTTGAGCGCCTCCACCAGGTCCGCACCAAAACCATATATCGCTCGCTAACACCCCGGGTCCTAATGCATGCCGAGATCAAATCCCGCTGGCAAAAGCAGAACCACCTACCACATACCGTCGAGGCAACATGGGATGTGGCCTCTTGGGGAAAGACTTGCACCGGTCTACAACACCTGCCAAACCAGAAGCACGCCTGCCTGCTGTAGCTCAATCTGCACCTCATCCTCCCCACCAAGCAATGGCTTGCAGCTCGCACGTCGTTTAAAGACCTCCTATGCCCCCAATGCTTGAATGGGCCTAAAGATCTTCCACACCTTTGGTTTGATTGCCCGTTCCAGAAGCAATTATGGACCTGGTGGAAAACGACGATTGGCGGCGACATCTCGATTATGACCACTGGCGAGTGGGAGGCTTCACTGCTCATCGGTCCCTACCTCAGCGGGCGAAACATCCGGAAGGAGAGAGCCTATGCCATCAAGGTCATCAGGGCGGCCTTTATTGGGGCCGTCTGGGCGCTCAGAACAGCGGCTGTCTTTCAACAAAAGCGGGCCTCCTTCCCCGCCTTGCGGAACATGACCCTCRCGAACCTCAGAATCTCCATAGCGGCGGATGTCAAAAAGAAACCCCTATCGGCCTAGCCAATGCTCCGTGCGGGTTGGGACCTGTACCCTGCTTTGGTTACAATCGGTGACACCCCCGACCTCTGGGAGTGGAATTGGCAGTGGGACTCGGTGGTGACGGAGGACACAGATACTCAATCTGAAATTGGACTCTAGGTGCAGTAAGAAGTGTAGACAATTGGAGTTAATGTGTGCTAACAGAAACATGGACACTGGATAGATAAGCAGTATGGTTTGGTGGATGTAATCGGTTCTACAGCACAGAAGGTGAACATTACCCAAACGACAGAGAAATGTAGAATACGCCACTTGACGGGTAGGCATTAGAGGCATGTTAGACGAATGGTGGAACACTATATATTAATCTGATTTAGGGTAGGGAGGGTGTCACTGGACAAACTGTGCGGAAATTACACCTGGGATGGTAGTATTCTTTGTAATGGGATTAGCGGATTTTACACCTTGGGGATGGGATGTGGCAGTATCGCTCGATATTAGGGGATGGGATGGGGAAGCACAACTGGGAGTACAAGATATATGGTGAATGGGATCTGGTATCATAAATTGCCATACTAGGGGATGTGATGTGGAAGCATAACTGGGTGTATGAGGAACATGGTGACTGGGTATAGAGCACCTTATCGTCGGGCAACCATTGCAATCATCAGACAGAATAGTACATAGTACAGTACTACAGGGTATAAACATCACCGACATGCAACTATTGCAAACATCAGGGACTAGTGGCCCCCCCCTGGGGCAAACATCATCAATGGTGTTGATACGGAATTGCTAAGGGGGGAGCGAGGAGACCGCTTCCAGCCTCCTAGAGGGGCTGTGTCTGCCCCCCGTTCCTGCGACTGGGTGCACTGGGTGCCTCCCGACAAGAACGCTCCGCAGCACGTGGGTTCCTCTGTGGTCGCTTGAGTGCGGCCTCTGCCACCGGCAGCTCTGCCCTAGGACAGAGTTGATACCCCCTCGCCCTCTTCTTCCCCCCCACCCTTCCCTTTTCTGTGTGGGACGCCGGGCCCGTTTCCCGGCAGGTGATGCTCCCCACCAATAGATCGGAGCTGTTGTGTTGTAAAAAAAAAAAAAAAAAAAAAAAAAAAAAAAAAAAAAACTACGTGGGCAGGTGCGGCACATCTGTTAGAAGATAAGGCAGGTTTCCTACGATGAGCTCAACGAGACCAACAATCTCGTTGGAGAAAAGAAGGCAAAAGCTCATGTGATTATGATTTCTAGTACGAATACAAACTGTGAGAGCGTGGCCTATCGATCCTTTAGCGTTTCAGGACTTCAAGCTAGAGGTGTCTGAAAAGCTACCACAGGTATAACTGGGTGCAGGCCACCAAGCGTTCATAGCAACGTTGTTTCCTGATCCTTCGACGTGGGCTCTCACTATCATTGTGCAGCAGAAGTTATTGTCGCGCCCATTGTCATCGTCGACGATCCCCATCATGGCGGGATCGTCACCATCACGGTTCGCCATCATCATTGTGTGCAATTACTCCGACGACCTGGGCGTTCCACTGGGGGAACGATAGACGTTCCACTGGGGGAATGATCGAGAAGAACCTTTACGGGTGATTCTTCCTTCCTCGACTAGGAGGAAGGACATTCATTGCTTTCCTCCGACCGGGAACGCGGTATCGTCAATCTCTCCCCCTCTTGCTTCCCTCCTCCCATCTTGCCGATTTCCCTCAAAGATCCCATCTTTCTCTTCGTCGTCTACCTCCTCTCCATCCCCCCTTCTCTCATTTATCCTCCCACCTAATTGGTCGTATCATCTAAAAATTTCTACTATGCGTGACGTGTATCGCCCTTCTTTGTGTTTGTCTGACAATGCCGTTCATTCTGTCATTTGGAATTTCGATCCAATTCGATAGGATTAATCTTCATTTCCTTTTCTCCCAACGCCGTGATCGGAATTAATTCCGGCATTTTCGTTCAAAAGTCACGTGAATTTCTTTATTATATCAAATTCTCTTCGTAAATTAGTTTAAAATTTGATTTTCATTCAGAAATTCGTGAAATATATTTCAAAATTTACTAATTTTAATTCTTCTGAGGTCGACTCTACTTCTACTTTCTATCCCCCGTAAAAATTCTTAAATTCTGCAATTCGTTTTGAAATTCTTTTGRAATTCTTTTGAAAATTCTTTGAGCTTCTTCTTAATTTTACAACATGTTGATACAAATTTAGTAATTTCATCTAAATCATTTCAAAATTTCTCCCAATTTATTCTACTTGACTGTCATTAATTCTTTCTGCCATTTCATCGTAAATTCTTCAATTAGGAATTAGTTTTCTATTTTTCTTTTAAATTGCCTTCGAAATTCCTTTAATTCCATAAATATATCATTGAATTTTTTATTTTTTTTCAAACTTTTCCTCTGAACTCATCTTTACCTCCTTTGTCATCTCCTTGAATTTAGAAAATTTTTACAAACATTTTTGAAATTCGTTTTGTTTAAATCGTCTTTAAATTCCAAATTTACGCCCAAATAATTTTGGAATTTTATTTCGACTTCGTGATTGTCTTATGCATTCCTTCCTCTATACCCCACGCCATTTTTTTTTAATTTCCTCTCATTCCCCCGCTCGAATCGAAAACTTTACTCTTCCTCCCCCAATCCGATTCTAAATTTTATTGATTTATCCTAAAAGTTCACTAGATCTCCTTTCAACATGTCGTCCCTTCTCGGCCCCCTTTTTGCGTGCCAATCTGGCTCCCCGTGACACCGACCAGCGCGCACTTCAAAATCGTCCCTGAGACGCCAGTGCCGCAAATCGCCTCGCACGCTTCGACGCAAGACAGGGTTCAATCCATCCACTTTCCACACTCTCCTCACTAAAACCACAACATACACCTCCCTATCTCCCCCTCTATCCCACGGGAACGACCCTCCCCTCCTCCCCCGCCGTGCCTCTCCCCGCCACCACATCAGACTAGTCCCATCGGCTACTGTGTGGAAGGTGCAACAAAAGATCCAAGAAGCACAACACAACCACCCGTAAGGAACCCTCGCTTGTCCCTTGGCCCCATCCATAGTACGATCTCAAAAGTACTTGAATCAACCCCACGTGTACGGAGAGCCTACAAACACGAATTAGTACTTACTGTGGTTGATATGGAAGGTATAGTTGATCTCCTAATCGTCATGATCGTTGTCAGCAAAGTCGCCGACATAGATGATTTAATTATGACTGTAGACGTTGTTGTTGTTAACAGCAGTGTTGTAGATGTCGTCATCGTTAACGATGTTGATGCTGTTGAGATCGACGGTGTAGAATTGTTTGTGACAGTACGCGTTGTTGTTGTTAACAGTGGTGTTGTAGTTGTCGTTGTCATCATACCTGTTGATGTTGTTGAGCTTGTTATTGTTGTTATTGTTGTTGTATGTCACAATATGTGTCATTGATATGGAGGATGTTGTTGCAGATTGCTGCTGGCTTGCCATGGCAGTGCACACAGATGAAGCTGACGCCGGTGTCCACGCTGAAGGAGCGATGACGTCAACCTCCAACTGGGCTTTAGTGGCCAACCTCTCCCTCATCACCTCGCAGTACTTTGTGCCTTCATCAAAACTCATATTGCAGCCGGTTATGATAGCCTCAGCCCACTGCCAATCAACACGCGCCTCCAACGTTAGATCCTCCGAAATGTACCAGAGGGTAGTTTCCAGTTGTCGAGCCTTGTCCGCCAACCATGTGGCCGGTGTTGACCCCCCCCCAATCTACCACCGGCCAAGCCTGGGCAGCAGAGGACAAAACCCCGCAAACTCCCGCATGCGCCGCCACGTGGCTTCCAGTTCGGCAAGCCATGTGTCCGCCCGTGTTAATCACACGTGATTTGATCTGATGTTATGGGAATGATCACACCAGATCTGCTATGACGTGATCTGATGAAATTTGGTCTTATCTTATCCAATTAGGCTTGATATAATAAGATCTTATCTGATTTGATCAGATCATATCACATCAGATCTAATCACATCAGATGTGATGTGATCAGACCAAATTCTATCTGAGCAGATGTGATCAGATCTAATCAGATTGGATCTGATCATATGAAATCTGATTTGATGTGGGGCGACCACATATGATCTCATCATATTTAGTCAGATCAGATTTCATTGGATGACCTGCAAAATCAGATCAAATCAGATGAAATCAAATCTGATATGATGTAATGACCTTCTAAATCACAGAATGAGAACTGTGCTAATTTTTGAGTTTTGCAGCCGGAATGTGTCTTGGTGAGAATCCCGCTCGCTGTCTGTGTGTATGTGTTTGCTGGTTCCCGTGTCTGAGTGCATTCTCTCTTTCTCTCTCTCCGCAAGACTTAGTACCATGTGCAGTTTTTTAAAGAGAACCAGCAAGTATGTGTAATGCGATGACAACCTCATACATT